TTTGGTGGTTCCAACATGGTTGGGAGGAGTCTCGAAATACTAATGGCTTTTCCTACTCAAACTCCAACGAAGTGAGCATGATCGTCTGCTTCGTTCGGTACCTGGTACAAAATGGAGTCTCTCCCAGTCGCATAACTATTCTGACCTTTTACAAGGGTCAGGTCAATCTCTTGCTCGAGATCTTGCGACGAGACCCAACTTTGTCGGCCAGGAACCCGACAAAAGAATGGTCGGTCAAAACAGTAGATGGCTTCCAAGGTGAAGAGAACGACATTGTGATTCTCTCGATTGTACGAAGTGCTCGCCCAGGCTTCGTACGGAACAAGAACCGAGCCGTGGTTGCTCTTAGCCGCGCGAAGTGCGGCATGTACGTCTTTGGCAATGCTGGGGCTCTCTTGGAAGAGGAAGAAAGCTTTGCAACTTGGTTGGGTGTCTATAACGTCTTTCATGAGCAGGGTTGCTTCGACGATTTCCTTCCCGTCACCTGCGAGAATCATGGGCGTGAGACTAAAATATCCTGCATTGAGGACTGGGAAACAATCGCTGCAGCCGGCTGTGACGAGCCGTGCACAGAGCAATGCTCAGAAGGTCACCCTTGCACGAAGACCTGTCACCCGTTCAAGCATTCAGAGTTGAGATGTGAAGCGAGATGTAAGCGGATCTTGAGTTGTGGCCACAAGTGCAGCTCGTCATGTGGCAATCCTTGTCGTTGCATCCAGCGATGTGATGAGGTCTATACCCAAGCTTCTCGTGCACCGAAATCTCAAGCGCCCATTCAGCCTCTCCGACTTGCACGCACACCACAAAGTTATGAAGCCAAGGGCTTCCAAGCTACCAGAGGTGGAAGAGGCGGAAGATCGACGACTGATGTGCGACATGGACGAGGCGGAACAGTTCGACACGGTGTCTCTGGTACGGGTTCATCGACCTCCACAAAATCTTTGGAGAGTAGTCGGAGCGCCTCTCAAATCCGTGCTCATAGCGACAACATAGGAATGCGGTCAGGACAGCTCAACTCCGTTGCCGGAGAGTCCAGTGTGCAGGAACCCACCAGTGAACAGTTCATGGAAATGGGCTATTACTCAGGGCCAACTTGCCGACATGAGCAGCTTACTGTCCAGACCCAGAACAACTTCAAATTAGCACCCGCATCCTCAACTACAAATTCTCTTTCGGACAGATGGAGTCCGGAGAAAATTTCGCAAAAGGATAGATCGCTCGGTGAGGAAGCTAAACGGGCGTCACGACAAAGAAGTCCCTGTTCGGTTGTTATCAGGACCACGTACCGCCCAACTACAATGGAGCCAGACGGAAGGCGTCGGTACGGGGTGCAAACACGTTCAAGCCACACCGTCCCAAAGCCTCTCCCCATAAGGAAGCAGATGCTCCATGATGCTGCTGCCGGACAGTACATCACTGACCAACATCAACAAGATGAGCTGCCGGGCGCGGACGTAGAGCAAGTGATTACAGGGAACGGAGGATCTGATGTCGTTGCCGGGCAGTATATCATTGATCATCGACAACAACAAGGTGAGCAGCCAGGCGCAGACACGAAGCGCGTGGGTACAGGGAGTAGAGGATCAGATGTCGAAGAAGATTTGATCAGTTTCGACTAAAGAGTCAAAAACACAGTTGATGACACGATGTACGTTGCGAGGCCATACTCATGGATATCCCGTGGACTGATGATGTTTTGTATGCTTCCGCTTTGGTGGGTTAGCATAGGTGTCAAGGGATATGAGCCACAAGGAAGAAGGCAAAGGCAGTGGAACAGATCAACACCAGCTTATTTGAGAAGCGAGGCAAGAGTACATGGCAGAAACTACAGTAAAGTAGAGAGTACTGGAACTTGTACAAGTACTGTACGTTACAATACAACTATCGTTGATATTATGATTCAGTGAATCTGCATTGTAGGCACAAAATTGGCGATCTGAACTGTGGCAAATGGCCATTGTATTGTGATCTGGGTTATCTCTAACTAGGTGTACAGAAGAACTCTCAAGTTAGCACCGCTCGGTCCAACGCCTCAAACAGAAAGACAGATTTTTTGGGAAGTTGAGCGCTCAATTCAAAGATGGTCGGTCCATGCTCCCTTTTCTCGGCCAGAATTCATCCGTCAGTGACATTGATCTCATAGCCGATAAGAACTTCAGTACTGGTGCCTTCCCATCCTCTAGTACCTGCTGCGCTCAGCATGAAGCGGCTGGTCGGGTCGATGTAAAGACTAGAGATGACACCTGCACGGGGAGGGCCAGGGATAATCAGGAAGGGAACAGTGGAGTGCTTGAATGCACGGGTGTCACGGAGGTCGTATAGGCGGAGGATGTCATGGGAGGCGCTGATCCTGTTAGCAAGAGAGAGAGAGAGAGAGAGAGAGAGAAGCGGCGGAGAAGAATGAACCTACCAGACGAGATGACGGCCGTTTACCATGGGTCTTACGGCGCTAACAGCTCCACTGCCAGCAGGGAACTTGAAAGTTCTCTGGGGTTCCCAGTTTCTCTTCGCCTTGTGGATATCGAACTCTTCAACTGTGCCGTTACGACGACCTGCGTAGATAGCATTGCCTGAGGGACTCCAACATGCCCCCATGCACCAGGGCGGGACACCGTTACGAGTGCCTATGCGCGCGACAGGATCGGGCTGGCGCCTATCCCATATGCGAAGGTACCCATCCATGGCGGCGGAGAGGAAAGTTGTTGGAGATGTTTGTGTAGGGTCGTGCTGCGTTGGGGCGTGAGGTGATGTGAGCATGAGAGATGGTGAAGCGGGGACTTCTTGAGATGCAGGAGGTTGAGAATCCTGTGTTGGTTGGGAAGGTTCTGTGGTCTGTGTTGGAGCAGGAACGAGATCTACGTCCATAGCATCGGCTGCATCCTGCGATGTGTCTGGTGGAGGAGGTTCAACGGCGGGAGCAGGTTGTATTTCCGCATCTTTCCCTGCGTCGAGAGCAGCCATGTCTGCAGAGTGGTCCATTGCACTGTCATGGCCGTGGCCAGGCATCATGTCCATGGATCCAGCGCCAAACTCATCGTCATCATGCCCAAAGGGCTGATCTTCCTTTGTTTCGCCGAATAGGCTTCCTGCATCGCTTCCCCCAAAAAGACTGTCATGAGCAGGAGATGCTTGGCCATCGCCGGTATTGGCGTCGGGGTTGAAATCGGCATTCATGTCGTCTACCCCATCTTGAGTTAGTCCATCTGTAAAGCTCCCGCTTGCAACTGGAGCTCCGTTATTGGTGACCATTGTCGTAGATGGCAGTGGCTCGTCATCGTCTTCTGGGATGGGGGCACCATTAGCAGGCCGCAGCTCGAGGGCTGAAATCTGGCCAGCATTGCCGTCAAAACTACGGATTGTCTGGCCGGTGTTTAAGTCCCAGTCGTAAATATTTTTATCCCAACCGCCACTCAAAACACTCTTCTCATCCTGTGCTAACGTTAAGACGGACACGGCGTTGGTATGCTGTTGTAGACAGTGGATCCGTTTGCCCTCGTCGTGTCGAACACTCTGCAAGTTGATACCGCCTGACTCAAGACCAGATAAAAGCCACAGAGCCTCAGAGTGGACAGCAAGGGAGTAAACAGGAGAAAGTATGTGTTCTTGGTCGCCTCGGCCAGGGGGTGAAGGCTCTTCGTTCTCCCAGTATGACATGAGGATGCCAGCTTTTGTAACGCTGTCCACAAAAGGATGCCTCTGGGCTACGGTCAAAGGCAGCTTTCCGTTGATGGTATTGGGACCGTCGTATTTGCGGATGTAGCCGTCAGAACCTCCTGTGATCCAATATCGCAAATCAGGTGTGATGGCCATGGCATTAACACTGGTCGACTGAGGTGCTGCCATAGTTGGTACGATGTCGTAAAGGCGGGCATTGATGACCTCTGGTCGAGGCTGAGGCCATTTCCTGTGCGAGCTCGGTGAGGGTGTGGTAGATTCGCGCTCGGTATCACCACCATTGGGCTCGGTCTTGATATGAGCACTCGTCTGGTCATTGGAGTCGGTAGCGGGAGGTTGGCTTTCGTCGCCATCGCCTTCACCATCAGCATCTCCATCTCCATCATCGTTTGCGTCACCATTCTCATCATCGTCGTCGTCGTCGTCGTTATTATCATCGTCGTCACCTTCTGCGTCCTGGTCTTGATCGCCGTTATCGTCTACATCCTCCATTGCCTCATCGGCGTCATTGTCCCGATCAATGCGGTCGTTATCATTGTCATTGTCGTTATCATTATCGTTGTCCGAGTCGTTTGAGCTGTTGGACAGCCGATCATCGTCTAAGACATTCATTATGAATAATACTAGACAAATGAGTTAGCCAGGACTTGTTAAAGTGGGATACAGCACCAAGATGATTGAGAAGGTAGAAATAACAGTGTTTGTTTGGATTTTAGGCATACATTAAAAACTAGCTTCTTGACATGTAATCGAGAGCATCGATCAATACATGGGCAGATGGTTCGCAATAGACCTGGTTGTCAATGGCAATCGGAAGAGTCGCAATGAACCTGGAACGGTGCGCGGGGGCGACAGAGCGTATTTGAAGTTTTGTGTAGAAGCGCAAATGACTGAAGAACGTCCTGAAACCTGAAGAGAATAATTATTGATTTGGACTGTGAGCTAAAAGGTGACACTTTTTGTGCTGCGCTGTTGGTACTGCGGGGCGTAACATATGGGTAAAGATCCAAGTTGAAGCTTGTTCGCGTCGCGTGGAAATGGAAATACAGACATGGGTGGGGCTACCCAGTAGCTATCCCCTTCCTTTCATTGACTTACACAAGACAACTGCAACAAATTTTTAATTGTACACGAGAAATTCAAACAAAAGAAATATATTGATTGCTGTACGTAGCTTGTCTATAGTCTCTCTCACTGAGACATGCTCTACTTCTACGTCTACTTCTACTTCTACCTTTCGGGCCTACACACTCCAATTGATACTAATAATCATCAATCCGGGTACTTCACCAGAGGGCTAGTTCCTTCAACCCATCTTGTCTGACTCAATGTCGGCGGCGACTCTGTCGTGAACTCCCATTGTGAGAGTCTCTAGCACGAGATCCATGTGGCCCTCTGCAATCCTGCCCACGACGGTGCATCGGAATCTGGGTGGCACTGTCGTCAGGGGCCAAACTAGCACCATCGCGACCTTGATCTGGGCCAGGCCAAACGGTCACATAGCTCCCTCCGAATACAGACGGTTCCTGGTCTGCACCATGTCGCTCATTAGGAACCTCGGTGACGGTGTTGCGCCAGCTACCGACACGATTACGCGAGCGTTCAAGAGGCACGCGAGAGATGTTTTGCGCTGTGGGCCATACATCTGAGTTTACTTGTTGGACCGGGGGAGCAGGGCGAGGATTGCTGAAGAATTGTGACTCTTGCAGAGACTGGGCGTTCACCTCAGTCTCTCTTTGGTTGTCCTCTCGGGATCCTGCTTCGCCTGTCCGCTGCCCAAAACTCTCACTAGCTCGCTGCTGATGAACGAAAACGTCGTCTATATCTCGCCTTACCTCAAAGTTAGGAACATTAGCGAACAGTTGATCGTTGTTAGCATTGAAACTTACGTCATTTCGCGAAAGCGGGCTGGTAGGTTCCTGCATGGACGTGCGACCTACAATGCGATCCAAAAGCGAGTCTCGTTGTCTAACAGCCCCATGTGCACGAGTCACTGCTGAACTCGAAGAGTGTGACCATGCAGAGCGAAAGGGGCCCGGCTCAGGCTGTTTTTCAGGGGGGAGAGACCGTCTCGTATTCTCACGGCTGTCATCTCCATCCTCTGCATCTGTGCAGTATCCGGCAGGGACTTGATCGGCATACTCCCGCCACTGACGAGCTGTGAGGTTCAGTTCAGGCGGTGCATTGTCAAGACGAGCCTGTCTATACGCTTCGGTATGGCGATGTGGACGGCCACCGTGACGAGAAGTGCGACGAGAAGACTCAGGGCCCATAGTCCACTGTCCAAGAGCTTCTAGGAAGCTGACAGAGTGGCGACGGGAGCTATGCTTACGAGGCATTGTGAATGTGTTGTTAGGTTAGTTGAGGTATGAAATAAATGACGAACCTGGTGTGTGGTGATGGTCCTCTATTATAAAAGATCTGGAGATTTGTTGATGAGGAATTTGTAAGTCAGTATATGCGAAGATTCTTGTCATTATATAATTACAAGAACAATAGCCATCATGAACACAATGAGTTACTTTGTAGTGTTCGTAAGAATCGCCATCGGGAGGGTTGTTACCAAACAAAGGATGATCGGTAGTCATGTTCCTTCATTCTATACATTAACACATTTTGACTGTTCGATGCGATGCCTTTGTATGAACTGAGGATATGGAGCGAATATCAGAACACGTCCGTCCCTTGGCAACAGTGACTGGAGTTGCAGATGAACTCCACGACTCCTGGATAACTGGTCAGGCACACCTAGTCACATTCATACAGGTCTTTGAAAGGCTAGGGGGCATTTCAGTGTTCAACACAACTCTCTGGTGTCATAGGTCGTGACTTCACATCTCCATATAAGCCAAATAGGTTCCAAGATAGATCCCTGGTTGGAGTTCAGCATACATGTCATACCGAGGCATTCCCTACCTAAGCATTGTCTCACATGCATGTCATTTCAGTTGCATTCCTCACATAGCCTCATAAAAACGGCCTCTTGCGCACTTTGTTCATTCAAATCCGTTCCTTCCGGGGTCTCTATTCCTTCCTCTACCCTATCTTACAGCACCTAGGTTTCCAGTGTCGTCGTGCGTGCTGCATGCGCACCGCCTTAAATGGCCAGTCCATGACTCTCCAGCCTCGGCCCCTATATTCCAAGCCCATCCAGCCCATGGGGTAACTCCCGCAAGACTTTATCCATCAATCACATCAAGGAAACAAAGGACGACAGTGACAGCATCCCAACTCCACCTTTTTTTTAAACCAAGGACATGAGAAGCCAATCCACTTCTTTCAGACTGCCGTGACAAGACAAAAAAGCAATCCACATGCCCTCACATGCCGTCTCGATGATGGGGTATTATCATTATCTACTAAAGAAAAACAAAACAAAAAGGAAAATGCTTGCACAGGGATAGCTTTCGCAGCATGTCGATAATGTTCGATTCAAGGAAAAACGTGGCAAACCCAAATTTGGGTAGACAATAAAGCAATTGGCTCGGTAAAGTCCAAAGTGTCAAAGAGTGGCTTGAGCGTGAGCTCATGAGGTGACCCGGGGGTCATTAAAATACTGCACCATGCCCCAGTCGGCTGGTGGTCCGTTATGCTGTTGGCCAGGCTGTTCAATAACAGCGCCTGTGAGACTCTCCCAATCATCAAACACTACAGGGGCCGGTGAATATTCGAAATCCATCATTGATTCGCCGTTTTCGTGTCCTTGAGATTGAGGTGGAGGTGGTAGCGGAAGCTCACGCTTTTCCAAGGGCGACGGTGCTGGTGGAGGCATCAGTGGTGATGTTGATGGCCCCAACGGTGAGTGAGCCGACGATGCAGGCGAAGGCCTTGAAGGTGAGGTGAATTGTTGGGAAGGCACCATTATCGTGTTTCGGAAAGGTGTGGTGAATTGCGTCTGTTGAGGATCGGGTGAAGGCATCAAAGACTGGTGACCTGGGTGGCCTTGAGTGGGCAGTGGCATGAATGACATGCGAGGATCGTGTCCAAAACCTTGGGGTCCAAGAGAGGCATGAGAATACTGCGGCGAGGGGATAGGCGCTGAGGTGAGAACAATATCGGCCAGGTCATAAGCAACGCTGACAATCCACTGCGCTTCACCCTCATCGCCGGAAAAGAATTCAAGAAGATCTTGAAGCTGGCCGGGATTCTCGTTCTCGAGGAATCCTTGGGCACGACCAGTTTTGCTTGGGTGCCAACTGAACTGAGGTCGTCGTCCATTGTACTCGGGCTGCTTGCTAACGACAAGCGCGTCCCAAGCCTCGTGGATCAAAGGCTGGTGCAGAAGACCATAAACAACACGCGAGTGCATCCAGTCGCCTTTGGTCATGCCCGACTCAAAGTGGCGGGCAACATGTTCGACATGGCGCTCGCGAGCTGGATGAAGAGCAGAACAGAAGCCACAAGCCCAGTACTTACGTTTTCGAAGAAACTTAACGACTTTCTCGGCGTGGGGACAAGTCTTGCAGCCATGGCATTGCTTGTGATGCTGATTGAACGAGTTGGATCCCCAAAAACTGCGGTTACATCCAGGCTCGGGACAAGGGTACTTGCGCCAGCGCTCGTGAAACTCGTCCTCGTGGCGCTTCCAGTCGTACTTGCGCTTGAAGCTCGTTTCACAGGAGGTGCACCAATAGATGTTTGTCTTGCCAGCTGTACCTACCGGGGCACTCATAGGGCTAAGACCGTTCATGGAACTGGAAGGGGGAATCGGAAGCGGCGCCTGTGATCGGTTACAGGTGGAAGTAGATTGCCATGACATTGCTGACTGCCCCGAGTTGGTTGACCAGATCGACGCATGGCCGGAGGATCCAGAGCTTGTCGAAGAGACGGAGATACGAGGACGATGGCTGAACGCGACCTGAGGGGGGAGGAACATGGCTGTGTCGTGATCTTTGTAAGCATACATGTCAGTAAAGCTAAAGGGCTAGGGAATCGACACCACATGTCGGGTGGGAACAACGCACAGTTCACGTCCTCGGAGAGGACTTCATGCTTAATCTCAACGGACGGGGTCGGGGTCGTCGCAGTCGATGAACGGCGAGAAGGAGCTATTGTAACGGCCTGGAGACTAGGCACATTCGATGCAACGGGGGGCGGGGGAGGGCATCGCATTGGGGGTGGAGGAGCAAGCGAAGCTGTATTGGCGCTTTGATTCGGGTTGCTGGGTTGCTGGTTGAACTGAGTCTGAGAGTGAGGCTGAGATTGAGATGGAATCGCGGGCATAGTTTGCATGGCAGTCATCGCGCTGAGATTAAGATTGAGAGCCTGGCTCCCGTCGACCAGCTGGTGCAGCAGTTCCTTGGACAGGCCTGAGTCAATTAGGCACTGTAGATTCTTGCGTGCCTCGGCGAGGACGTCTTGAGGGTTGGCATCGTGGGCCTGTTGAGCCGAAGGGCTTGGCTGCTGCGACATGTTGTGTTGCTGAAATTCGAACTGTTGTTGAGAAGTATTGGTCTGGTGCTGGCTCTGTCTTAGAGACATGGGCTCCGCTCACATGGAGGAAGAGTCGGTGATTAGAGTATGAGCCAGAACAAAATCTTGCGAGATGATTCTATTCCTTGCTAAACGGTTCAGGTTGCGGATTGATTATAAAGTGGTTGTTGAAGCGAATGTGATGGCCTTGGGCGATGAGCTGATGGCACGGGGTAGCGAGAGTTGGTTGGATCCTTCAGATTCCGGGAACGAGCAAACAGCGAGTGACAAGAGCGAAAGTTGGAGGTCCCAAGACCTTTGAGCGAGAGTGGATATGAAGCAAAAAGAAACAAGAACGAAAGAAAGAAATGTTGGTGATGGTTGGTTTGGAGTTGTGAAGAGACGACGGAAGAGGTGGGAAGGGGATGGGGGATGGGAGGGTAGTGTAAGAAGGAGTAAATACAGGCGCAGACGTTGGCTGGTCCAGGCACAAGGCAAGGCAAGGTAGGAGACAGGAAGGAAGCTAGACCAGGGGTGCTTGCTCTCTTGCTGGAGATACCGTGCTGGGTCCTGTCTGCTGGGAAAGAGGCAGGCAGGTACGGATACAGTACAAGAGCCGGGTACTCTATGTGGAGGAAAGAGAGATGGACGGGACAATCAATCAGTGAGTGAGTGAAAGTTGGGTTAGACAGGATAGCCTAAGGAAGGGGCGTGGGCGTGTGTGTGGTCAGGTTATTTCTCCGACAGTATTGTAATTAATTAATGATCGCCTGTGGTGTTTTGTATCTTGCTGTTGTGAGCAGGGGGGTATGATTTGAGAGGCGAGAGAGGATGGAGATGGATCCAAGGCCCGGGCTGCAGGCGCTGTAAACTTCTGGCGGGCTGCTGTCTGTATCCGTAGGAGGAGAGAGGCCTGCGCTGAAGGAAGGGCGGGCAGGCTTGTTCTGAGTCCCGTGCTTCAAGCTGTGGTCTAGCACCACCAACACAGGCACAGGCAGACGCAGCCAAACCCACGAAACTAGGACTGGGACCTAAAAGAGAGAGAGAAAAAAAAGGAGCAGAGTAGACTCAGTAGAATAATGGATTGACCCGGGTGGGCAAGAAAAGAGACGGAAAGAAAGCTAAAGCCAACCAAATATGGGCCTGTGCTGGGGTGTTTTTCTGGTCGTGACTGGGTACAGAGTATGTATCCGCGCTCTGATTAGGCTCGGGTACCTTGCTGTTGAGGTCTTTTTTGGGGCCTGTACCTAAATCTGTACTTGTCCCTAGATGACCAGTTCTTTTTTCTTCTTTTTTTTGGGTTCTTTCTCCCAAGCCCCGTGCAGTCCGTCTCTGGGCCACAGTTTCACAAGAATTAATAAACTGCAAGAGTTTCCTAGGCGGAAATGAAGATGTCGGCAGCCAGCAGGAAGCCTAAAATGCCAGGTTCATTTCTCGAACAAAGAAAGAGTGTAAACGGAAGAGAATATGGTGAATGAAAACTGTATGTGGAGGAGAAAAGCATCCGGGGGGATCGTGGTAAGATCCAAGGTCTAGGATAGAATCGACAAGTACAGCGTGGTAGGTAGAGTGACGTGACGTGCAGGAAAGGATTGACTGGATGATTGCAACTGATACGATGTGGTGAGCTTTCCCTGTTCTGCTGACGGATACTACCTGGTGTTTGTGGATGGGTCCTTTCAAGAGACAATGTATTAGAGCAGCTTAATGGATGATAGAGAAAGGTGCCTTCTGTCTCTGTGTGTTTCAATTGTGCTATTGTTATGATTAAACGCTAGCCTGTGGGTGGACTACTCAGCATGTATCTTGAGTACCTTGGTATACAGATAGCTTTTCTACACTGATTAAGCTTACCTGCCTACCTCATCACGATCTCATTTAGTTGGGAGCGTCATGACAACAAGATCTCCTCTCGCGCCGTCGACCG